GAAATTATGTCAGTTGCACAGAACGGACGTTCACATGTGAAACAAATGGACGTGGTCCTTGTTTCGTGGGCGATGCCATTGGGTATAGAATAATTCTTTAATCAATACTCCACAGCCGATATCAAACAGAAGCGGAAGATTGTAGTGCGTGCAGTATTTCAGTGTCCATACGAGTATACACTATTTGCATAGTCACGTATTACACACGCGCACATATTTCTATGACAACGATTTTCACGAAAATTTAAATAACATTTCAGTTATTCGTAATGACCGTTATTTTTGTTGTAATATATTCAACGACGCTGTAATTAAATGAGTTTATATAGCGTCCAGTGATTTAATGACAGTGAAGAATTAATTTGACAGGATGTGGAACGAAGCTATCATGGTCTGAATTTAACTTCATGCATTTTCCTGGCTGGGCTCGAAAAGTTCACGAACAATTTCAGTGAATGTAAACGTTCCCGGCCTAGAATCGAGCCGGAGATTTCTTACAATGCAAACCAGGAGCGCTGAATCTGTAGGTAAGCTTGCTTGATGTCATTCATAATGATGGCAACATCTCGTTCAGTATCCAGCAGCTCTTGCAGTTGATACATTGTCGTTAATATACTAAAATTCCCTCTTGAAACAGAGCGGTACCGGTTGGAATGGTGCGTCAACTAACCTCACCATAGTGTCTATGGCACTGCTTCGTGTTCGAGTTGACTTTGACCTTCTGTTTTCTTCAGTTCCTCCCCGTAGATGCTGATGTACTGCCACGTCCCCTTTCTCACACATGCATTCAAATTCAAGCTAAAAGGTCTAAGGTAAAATTGTCCCTGGAAGTATAGCTCCACCATTCTTGACCTCTGCAATAGATGGGAGATCAGTGGTGAGGTTTACGTCCCTGCCGCTTCCCTGACGGGGAATTAGGCCCCGATACTCATTTGATAGGAGGCTGGGCGAGCTCGAGAGCCGGTCTTGACGCTGTGGAGTACACAAAACAGCCACGTAATAGGCACCACTGTTGTCTGGCGCCGTGTTTACAGGTGTTATTGGCAACGCTGTCGGGAGTTGTTTACGGCTGCATAGCAACCTCGGCATCTCTTGGCCACGTCACCGCTGGCGGGGTAGGGGAAGGAGTGTTGACTTGCCTGCTACCCTAGCAACGAGAGCGCTCTGATGATGTAACGTCACCGCTGGCGGGAGGAGGGGTGTCCTGCATAGCGCAACACGTCACAATATCTTGCCCTGTTGGGAATCGAATCATCTTCGTCCTGCCCGTAGTCCGTCGTTATATCTACTGAGTTGTAATGACAGTCGTTAAACAAATATATTATAAGTTCCTGAAGAGTTTATCTGGAATATAACGCCGTGTAGTCAGTTGAAAGTCAAACATGTCTCCATCTTTAAGGGCGAAGAAAAAGACAAGCAAGAAGCTAGCATGAAGCAAATACAAGCAGAGCTCTGAAACGTTGATTAATTTCAACGGGCTACACAGAGTTTTATGCCAGAAGATAGAACTCTTCATAACCAACAAATCTCACATCGACAAGACTTTAATGATGTGTGAGGTAATGACTGCGCACGCGTTGGTTGGAGGTAGTACTAAGTCTGTCTGTAGATGGCTCTGCCAACAATAGTCCTGCCGTCAGCTGTCATCAATTTCATCAAAAATCTTTGTTTACAGAGTTTCTTGACACCAGTATTTGCATTTGTTCAGTATTTGGTGTTAAGATTTGATTATAAGCACGCAAAGAGAAGGAAAATAAATACACAGTACATACATAATAAGTCCCTCCCAGGCTTGTGTTTATGTTATTTTTGCTACGAAATAAAGTTTAAGAACACTGGAGTTTTCTGTGTACCGAACCGAATCCGTGATGTATCGATACATCGCAATAATTGGTCAATTTACAGCTCGGACTCAGCGACTTAACGGCACTTCAGAGAGACACGGATCTTCATGGTGCCCAATGGCGTCGCACAAAATTCAATTCTGTTTAGCGTCATCGCAGTGGCGGCTCGTAAGTTAGTTAACAATTTTCAGTGGCGGTCAAAATTTAATTAAATATTCAATATTTAACCAAATATAAGAATTAATGTTTGAATTCTTTCCTCCTTGTTCATACTCGTATTAAATCACTGTTGCTCATTCATGGAGCTGAGCTTTTCTTGAGAAACTTCCAATTGTGTAGCTATTGAGGAAGTTCCCAACATTTTATGGAACTCGAAGGTTCATTACCGTGTTCACAAGAACCCCCCACTGGTCCCTATCCAGAGCCAGATCAATCCAATCCATACCATCCGATCTCTCTAAGATCCATTTTAATATTGTCCACCCACCTACTTCTTTGTATTTCTATTGGTCTCTTTACGTCTGCCTCTCCCATCAATATCCTAATGCATTTTTCTTCGTCATATTCGTGCTACATGCCCTGTCCATCTCATCCTCCTTGGCTTTATCATTATTAAATTGTTAATAAAATGTAATGGACAGGCTGAAGCGACCGGGAAGTGAAGCTGACTTTCACTGTCATCTAACGTCGAAGTATGCATGTGAATGAGCAGGTTGGACAACTCGTAATTGAAAGGGACTTGGTTCGAATCTTTACTGTTAAATAAAGCATTAATAAACATAAACTGATTCCTTATTTAAATACACCTGTATTAAGAGAAACGGGTGGTAAATATTTGGTATTTAATTTATAGTTTATTAAAACTATGTAACGTCGACTAATTGAATTACATAGCGGCCTCCGTAGTCTAGGGGTAACGTTCCCACCTCATGACTCAAGGTACGCGGGTCCAAACCCGGCGGAGGTCGTGGAATTTTTAAGGGCGGAAAAATTCAGGGAACAAGTCCTCCGGGAGAGACATTAAGCCGTGGGTCCCGTGTCGTAACTTTACGGCACGTAAAAGAACCTCATGTCTCAAGTAGACCTCTGAGCCAAATTTGTAAGGACATTTCCCGCCCAACAATAGTCTCTAACGCCTCTGGTATATGGGGGAAGCATCTAGATACCGCTGAGCCAGTAGAGGCCGAACTCGCTGGCTGAGTCGGGACTGATAGCACGCACCAGTACCGGTAGGGTATAGAGACTGGTAGAATATCACAGGGGGACGTACAATAGATCAAATTGGTCGCGGTGCATGGGGAAACCCACCCCCTCCAATAATAATAATAATAATAAATAATAATAATTTAATTACATTGTATAATGAATTGGAAGCGGTGTGGAAGGAAGCCGTCACGGCATAATTGAAAACGTTATCTCGGCATATACTTTGAGGAGGATCACGAGACACGTAAGTCAGGCTAGTTTTTGTCACTGCCGAGATTCGAACTGAGATTCTGCTGAATAAAAATTTGAGGCGTTTCTATTTGAGCTGGGGCGCAGATCTTCTGTTCTGGCCACCCTTGACTGACTCTACAGTTGTATAATTTCAGGGAAAGTTTGTTTTTTTTGTGGAACTGTGTGTCCGTAGCACAAAAGTCTGGTTACATAACGGAAATGTTATTTCATGAACTTCTCGGAAGGTTTCGTGCGATTCTTAAAAAGATTTTCTGAGCCACCTCTGAAGCTTTTATTGACATCCATGTGTCATCTTCAGTGGAGGAAGTCAAACTCAATTGTTGAGAGAGTTACAGACACAAAAACAGAGTATGATCAGAACTCACCGACACGAAAACAGCTGACGGAAGTGTAACATTGTAGACCAGAAATATTATAGCAGAATGTAGGTGTTGCACGGGGTGGTCACAGGCAGTTGGGTGACCCTACAGATCGCGTTGGTCACAAAATGTAACTAGCTCCTCGGAGCAGAGTCGTCCTTGTGAAACTAACAGTTCCGAACTTCTTATGCTACCTGAAGGTTCATTATCGTTTTCATTAGATCTCGCCTCCGTCCTCTATTCTGAGTCAGATTAATCCAATCTACAGCCTCCCATCATATTTCATTAACATCCATTTCACGTTATTTTCCCATTGAAGGTTAGGATTTCTAGATTATCACTTTTCTTCGGTCTTCCAACCTAAATTTTATATACATTTTTCTTTTCTCCCATATTTGATTCCCCGATGAGGTCATTGAACATTTACACTGACCTAATCCTTCCTTGCAGTCGCATTATGATCCTGGGGTTGACTCAGCGTCTATCAGAAATGAGTACAAAGAATCTCCCTTAGGGGGAAGGGCGGCCAGAGCATAAGTCTTTTAATGATATGATCCACATCACTATCTCATAATGATGGCCCTGAAAAATATTTTAGATATGTATTATCATTTGTGCTGTTCACACTTCTTTTCCATGTAAAGTAAGAAGTAAATAACCCTGAACTTTTAATGAGTCGGGATTGTTCAGTTGCTATGGCTACCTGCTGGACGGCTGGGGTTTCGATTCCCACCGGGGGAAACATTTTTATCTTCACAGCGTCCAAACCGGCTCTGGGGCCGACCCAACCACCTATCCAGTTGGCATCGGGGTCTCTTTTCCAGGAGTTAAATCGGCCGGGGCATCAAACTGACCACTCATCTCCAGTTATTGACGAGGTCAACAGTAATGTAGCTATACTTCCACTCCCTCATACGTCTTTATGGCATGTGCTTAATTAATTAAGTAAAAGGACAAATTTACCTATACTTTATTTTTCCTTGGCACTACAGCCCCAGTGGGCCTAGGCCTACCTCCATGAACCGTTCACTTCGGTTTCTCTAGATCTTACACGTTTAGGAGGACTCCTTGGGCGGGTGACCAGCTCGTCGCAAGGCCTCTACCTGTACACAGACACAGAAAAACGCGCACACGCAAACTAAACATCCATGCCCTGAGTGGGATTCGAAACCACGATCCCGGTTTCGTAGCGAGTGAAGACAGTACATGCCTTAGACCGCTCGGCTACCGTGACCGGCTAACCTGTGCTTACCCCAGTGAATAACGTCTTTACTTAACTGGCTGTGCTGTGTGATTCCCAGCAGGGATGCCAACTGTGAATTGTTTCCTCTTGCTGCAGGATACTGGTCAGAGCAATCAGTTACACCGTGCACGGACTCATCCCGGCCTCTTGTGTGTTCGCGGATCGGTACAACAGAGAAGAAGTGGTGCGCTCTCTCGGCAAGGAGGTGAACATCAACCCACCCCTCACACTGGGTCAGTTGCCAGACACGCCCGAAGAACTCCTCAAGCTCGACCAAGTAAGTCAAATTTCGTACAAAATACTCAGCTCAAATAATTATGAAACATAGCCCAAGGATATGTAACCGCTGATGTTATGAAGATTGTAATCTTCTTGTACGTGATCTCACGACACTCGTTTATTTAACGACACTTTCAGTATCTTGGACTACATATGATGTGCCACGGCAGTGCCACAAGTTGAAGTAGCATCACGGAATTTATATGGAAAGACTGGGGAAAACCGCTAAAAACCAGATAGCTGATGTAAACCTGAGATTCAAACGGAAAATCCACGTCAGAAATATTATCACCCAAGCGAAATTGATCGGTGACGTAATACTGTTTTGTGGATACGTTTTGCTGTAACTTTCTGCCTACGTCTTCATGGTAGAAGTCTAAGCCGAATGGGAAAGTTGTGCGAGATATAGAGAAGGAAGAGCAGAAACCGTGGAAAGAAGCCAGCCAATGAGAGACGGTAAATGGGGGCGCATGGAGGAAAATCGTGATAGGAAAACATGTGAGAAAATATGAAGAGAATGAATAATAGATGGGGAAGATTGGAAGATGTAAGAGGAGGAATATCAAGGCATTCTGGGTAGAGCTCCCGGTCACGCTCCTTTACTGACATTTTAATATTATCTTCTTCCTGTGTTACAAAAAATTCTAGGTAAATTTATGTGACCTATCGGACGAACATTCAACTAATGATGGGCCTATAAACCATCCTTCGTATTCTGCCTTCAATTGACCTAACCCTTCCAGCCACACTATGAACCTGGGGTCGACTCAGCCTCTGACAGAAATGAGTACCAGGAATCTTCCTGGAGGTAAAGGGCGGCTGGCGCTTAGGGCTGACAACCTTACCTCCATCTGTGGGCCACGGCCTGTTACAAGGATAGATTCTTCCGCCCATTGCCATGTCGCCAGTATATTTTTATCAGCAAGCATACAGTCTGTATTTCTTTGCCTGGCCGTTCTTAGCTGAATGCGCAGTATGATCGGTCGAGTACGGTAACAGAGAAGATGTTTATATGCATGGACTAGACTCACGCGTCCTCCACAGTGCAAACCAACCAGTCCTCCGGTTCATTTTCCATACGTGTCGCTTGTCCTCGTGGTCACCCCAGAAGTCAGGTCTCATAAGCTACAGGCAGTGTCACTGAAACCGGACCAGCGTCTGGCAGTAACAGAGTTGTGCACGTCTTGGCCAATTGGCTTAAATAAACAGTAGACCCTACTCTTCAGACTTATCGTCCACGGTAAAGAAATGATGAAAACTGAGGTTCAGGTTTTGACGACAGTGAAGGTTAATGTTTATAACGCCGTGTAGTGTGGTAGGTGGGAGGAGTATGCTGTCTTAATCTTATTCCGAGTAAAATGTAAAGTTATTCCTGTGCTCAATTAAGTACTATGCCATGAAGACGCATGGGGGAGTGGAGGTGTAGCTCCATCATTCTTGACCTCGGCAGTAGTTGGAGTTGATCTTTCGGCTTCACTCACCGGCCGCTTTATCCCCAAGAAAAGAGCTCCCGGTACCCATTGGGTATCTAATTTGAAAGGATTGGTGATAAAACTTATTTATGTTTTCCTTTTGGCTCTTCTCGGTCTAAAGATGTATTTTTTTTTACTCCAATAATTATACAATCTATCCATTAAGTGTGGATAATAAGTACATTTTGTGGTTTACATATAGAAAAGGAAAGAGAACTTGTCGTGGTGAGCATGTTCCAATGAACCTGCTCAATACTTATTTTAACTGCTTAGTGATATGCAGTTAAGTGTTGAATTATTCAAATCTGGTGGGTAAATCTGAAGGTTTGAATCTGTTTAACCTCCTGATTTCTCCTTCGTCGTCGAGTAGTTTTTGTGCCAAGTCGTTCGGATGGACCTGGAGTCTGATTTTATACTTTTTGCTGTTTTTTTTTATTTCCTCTCGTACTGTTGGTACATCTAGGTCCTTGTGTAGTACCGTGTTCGGCACATACCACGGTGCGTTAACTATTATTCGTAATACTTTGCTTTGAAATCGTTGGAGAATTTCTATGTTTGAGTTACTGGCTGATCCCCATAATGGTATCCCGTACGTCCATATCGGTTTGAGCATGGTTTTGTACAGTAAGATCTTGTTTTCTGTCGATAGCTCCGACTGCCTTCCCAGCATCCAATACATCTGTCGGAATTTTATTCCGAGTTGTTTTCTTTTGGTGTGAATGTGTTTTTTCCATGTCAGTCGTTTATCCAGGTGTATACCAAGGTATTTGGCAAGATGTATAAATGTGCTTGTTATTTATGTCATGTTTGTTCTTCCGTCTCTCCGAATGTAACAACTCGGGAACAAGTGAATAGATTTTCACAAAATATTTATAAAACGAAATTTCGTCGAAATTTGTCAGCATATTTGAAAGCTGATCAAATTCTAAAGACTTCACATGAAGACCTCAGTGCATTTTCTGCACGTAATTAGCTAAATATACGTCAAAGCAAAATAAATGTGTATATTTCGAACGAAATATGTCGAGAGAATTGAAACGCACAGGTTATGTTCGGTGTACTTTTCCCGGAAGTCCTACGGTTTTCAGTACAATTAAACTAAAGGGAGCAAACACGTCAAAACTGTTACCTCTCTTTCTGGCCCAAGGCGTCAGGAAGAAGCCCCCTTTTCCTTTTTTTTTCTCATTTTGAGCCTACTTTTCTTATCATAAAAAACTGAAAGATGCTTTTGAAAGCGCCTTGCTGTCTGTGTGTCCCTCTTTAACAACGGAAAACCCCAAATCATTGCTAGGCAACGGCTCGGTGAACACATTTTCACGACAACGAATGCATATGGAGGCATCTTTTTATGTGCGGTCCGTGTCGAATCAGTTTTGTTTGCGTTCTAACACTGCAACTAGTCCGAGACTAACGAGTATTTCTATTCTCACTTAAACTGCTACTACTATAACTAAATGTCTAAGACTACGCCCACCGGCGTGTCCCAGAATCTTGAATCTTGTCTTGAGCACATTATTTGTCGCACTAGTTCAAGCAGCTTGAGTCTTCATCTCAGTAATTTCACTAGAGAGCACTTACATTTGCACTACACTAGTTCAAACGGCTTGAGTCTCTTGAACCTTCGCACTGTCCTCGCGTTGTCAAGAAGCTGTACCGCTTCCATATTGGTGCAGTAGTGAAACCGATCTTCGTGCTTTTCGGCTATCCCTTGAGTCCCGGCAGTGACCATCCTAGTGCCAAGATCCCTGTGGATGTCGCTATTACGGGCCTACCAAGGGGCATTTACTATTCCCCTCAGCACTTTCCCCTTCATCCTTTCTACTCTTTATCTAATCCTCCTCCCTCTCTCCTGCTACTCTCTTCCTTGTTCTGTTCGGCGTCCCGACACCCGCAACTGTGTGCGTAGTGCATGTTGCGCAATGTCCGACTTGTCTAGTAACAAACACCCATTAAGCTGCGGAAGTGTTGTACACGCGGAAATTATAGGTCATTGCGTTAAGTTCGTGTGACACTGACCCACCCACCTTCTCCTCACCTCAAGGCTCGCACGTTAAATGGTCCTTCTGTTGACTCCTTGTGCCACCCATTTTTGCCTCGTGTCTCGTTCCCTGCTATTCACACACGTCGTGAGAACAGGTGTGACCCTAGGGCCGGCTCGCCTCGCCTCAACGTGACACCGTCCAGCTCGTCTCCCCTTCGGTCTAGCTGTAGAAATCTCCAGTAAGAAGATTGCTTGAAGGATGCCGTCTTCTGGAATGTGACGCCGTGTAGATCTTGTGTGAGCCGACGTATCGTTGGAACGTATCGTCCCCATCTTCCGAGTGGAAATGTCCGCGAGCGAGGAAACAGCATGAGCAGGTGGTTGCCTGCCTGAAGATGGAGGCGATACGTTCCTCCGAAACGTCGGTTCACACAATATCAACACGGCGCCACATCCCAGAAGACTGTATTCTTCATAATCACCGCTGTGAGAACCTCAAATCCTACAAGGTTATTTCTTGATTTATTTAAGATATACCACGGCATTCTATGACGAATCACATGGGTTCTGTTCCCGATAGAGGAAATAACCTTTGCTGTGATATCCACACCGGGTCTGTAACAAACACAACACAGAACTTATCACTCACATCCACCACCTACTCATGCCTGGAATGTATGGAGTTTAGCTTCATGCCCTTCATACGCTTCCTCTGAGCTGAGGTACGAGGCAGCTTTACCTTTCTTTCTCTCTCAGCTTTGTTTATTATGCTTCTGCAATTTCCGTGCCATACAGCTCCGGCGGTGAATTAATTTCTTCAGTTTCTTGCCTTGGGGTGAGACTGAGTCCAGTTGGTACGTCGGCCACTATTTGGCCTCTTGTACCAGCCCCGGGTGATAGGTGATGGTGATTTTGGTACAATCATTGGAATGAAGATTGGCAGGGGATACCGAAGTCCTCGGAGAAAACCTGCCCCAGCTCCACTGTGTTTACCAAAAATACCATACGACGTGACCTGGAATCGAACCCGGGCCGCCGCAAGGCCAGCTCAGCCAGTTAACGCTGGCTTCTCACCTCGGAGATTCGGGTTCAATACTGGGCGATTTCATATGTGATTCGAGGTGGACGAAGTAACAATGGAGCATGTTTTTCTATGATTTTCTTCAGTTTTGCCTTCCTACTCATCATCAGCCATTGCAGCATGCCCATCTATCGCCGCCTCCTTCTGCTTTCTTTATTTTCTGTGTAATAATTTGAATATCTGTCCATACCCCTCTCTGCCAGGTCACTGGAAATAAAGTCAGTTCCATGGAGGGATGCTTCACCAACAGATAGCGATAACATAGATAGGGGCTGTGAAATAATAACTTTGTTTCCTCATTCTCTTCCTTCTATCCGTCTTCTCTTATACATACTTGACCTACAATTTTTTTCCTCCATATTTCTCTTTGCTTTTCTCCTAAAAATTCCCAACTTATTTCCCTTCTTCGTTTTTCTTATCATGCTCCTTGTTCTTCCCTCCTCATCCTTTCTTCTCTCCTTGTC